CCCTCCCCCGCCTCGCTCCCTTCCCCCTCCTCCCCGGCTGCAGTCGTCCGAGGCTGCGGGGGCTGCCGCACCGCCGGCCCGGAGAGACACCTCCTGCACCGGCGGCCCAATAACGCTCTAAATCAATGCAGCTGATGCGAGGCCATGGCCCCCGCAGACAGCAGAGGCCTCGCCGCGGCCGGCGCGGAGGTGTCTGCCCCCGCCGAGCTTGAAGGCACTTGTTGGTAAAAGACACAGACGTGTCCGTGTTTGCCTCTCCCGGGGAAGGGCGAAACGCTCTGAAGTTCTCTGGCTCTCGTCTCAGGGCATGGTTCTGCCTCCCTACCTACCCTGGGGCACCCTGGGGCGTCCTCGGGGTCCCACCATGGCCAGCCGAGGATGAGGGCTGCGCCACCCTCGCCTCCAGAAACTTTATTTTTTTGGGGGGGAGTGGAACGTGTCCCAGGATGTGGAAAAAGGGGGTCGCTAGGAGGCTTTATTAAGCACTTAACAAACACCCCCATTCCTTCTTTGGTCTAATGAGTTAAAAGTTCCAGCTTTACCACTTTTCCAGAACAAGTGACTTTGCTCTCTGAGCCTCAATTGTTTCAGTTGTAAAATGGGATTAAATTTTCACTTCTCTTATTGGATGCTAAGAGTAAAATGAAAATCAGTGTACTGGAAAACCAAACAGGAGCTTGCCCCGCCGTGAGCAGAGGGGGAGGTGGCTGCCCAGAGAACGGGAAAACTGGCTTCCGGGGCCTGAGGACAGAGGATCCTTGAGCCCTAGGAGCTGACAGAGATCGGCCACAGCTGCTGAAGCAGGGCCCAGGTTTTCATTTGCACCAGAGCAGGGCAGGGCAGATACAGAACCTGAGGCGAATCAGGCCTTCTCTCCCCTCCCTTTTTAAAAGGATTCAATAAAGGCTAGATTTGGGAAGGGGAAGACTGCTTCCTCCTCTCCCAATTCCACCTGTCTTGCTGCTGGTGGAGATCCTTGAAAAGGAAACAAAGCCTTTCCTTCCACAATCTGAGATGAAAGGGAAAATGAAGTGAGTTGCAGTCAGTCAGACAGAGGGTGCCTGGTTCTGGCTCTGGAAGGTGCAAGCAGGCAGCAGGCATCCGAGGGGAAGAAGAGGGAAAGGATGAAACAGGGCTCATGAGGAAGAAAGTGGCTGTCCTGGCTTCATGGGGTCCTCCCGGCCCTGCTGCCTCTCCACAGGCTGGACACACATACCTGGCATTCTGGTCAGGTGACTGTCCTCTTTGCAGGCTTATAGACCTTGCACTGTGGGGAAGATTCATTTTTTCATATGGCTAACTTCATTACGAAGCTTTGCTTTATTCCGAGTCTAAACTGCTTACCTCCCCATTCCTCTCCTCCACCAGCATTTAGGCCTTTCTTCTTGCTCTTCTGTGTTTTTCTGCCTATTGTAACATAATGCATCCTTCAAGGATTTTCTCAAATGTCACCACTTCTCAGAAGTCTTCCCTGATCGACCAAGCCTCCACTTCAGGTGCTTTTGCCTTCTTCTGACCCCTAAGCACTGGTTTCTGCCTCTCTTATGGTGTTTATTGAATTCTGTAGCTTAGCTGTGATATGTCCTTGTCTTACCTCCTTTGGTCCTTGTTCAACTTAGTGGCTTATGTGCTATGAATTGCTGTAACAGACAAAGCTCAGGTTTTGGAGTTAGAATAACTTTAAACCTGGGCATAGCTGCCTGTTCCCAGCAATTGGAAACTGGCTGAGGAAGTCAGCTTTCTTGGCCTCACTTTCCTCATCTGTAAAAGCAGGTATGAAACCCTCTCTCAGGCCAGATTGATAGGGCTACATATAATAGTCTTTGTTCTGCAAACACTGTTCTCCTCCTTTCTTTTCTGCTGCACCTAAAACTGATTTTTGGATTAATTTAAATTTGTTACCACAGGAATCCTTGGTTGTAGTATTATTGAATTGTCCATATATGCTTATTACAAATATGCCAAGCTAAGTCCCAGGCAGTGGCCCACTTAAATGCCTTTAATCTGTCCAATTGAAGGTTTTGGTCATTATCTTTGTGTTCATTGCAACTGAATTATATTTGTTTTAGTAAAACTTTCCACTAGCAACAAATATCAGGATCAACTTGTTTAACTCTGTTCTTGGTTACAAACCTGAGGATTTTGGTGATACCTAGTTTAAAAACATGAAAACAGGCTGCCTCTCCCAACACGTACCATTGAGGTTGACAGACACATTTTCTCAAACATGACAATTTTGACCCGCATGGGGAATCAGTAAGTCTAAATAAAAATTACTAATTAATCTTCTGCAGGTTCATTTAGAATTGTGTACCTGATAGTACTGCATGACTTCTGAAATCAGTCCTCACATTCATTTCCTAGATCTGATGGGCTTCTCCGACATTCCTTGGGAACATGTAAGCAGAAACTGGGACAGAGAAACCACCCATGCGTATAGAAAGGAATGTGGTACTGGCAGGGTAAAGACCACCCAGACCATGTTCCTGTTATCCTACTGGTCAGCAGTGGGATCTAGTATGGCCTTCCCCTTCTCTAGGCCTCAGCTTCTTCATCTGGCTAATGAGGACATCCCTGAGAGCCCACTCTCCTCTCACTGTCCTCACTTTTTGCTTCTATGCTTCAGCTTTGCCATTTTCCTTTTGTGTCAAGTTCCTAAATTTAAATTACCAGGGATTAAGAAAAATCTTTATTAAAAAGGGGAAAAATTGAGAAGAAACAAAATAAGAAAATCACTGTGACCTGATCTTAAGGAGGCAAGAATCAGCTCTTCTGAGACAACGGGCTTGGTTAGGTTGCTCTGTCTCTTCTAAATGAGGTCTTTTCCAAGGTGGCTGTGCTGCAGCTCCCCATCCTTAGAGTCAATGACGAATGCTGAAGGGCTGGGCAGGTTAGTCAGAGTGAGGCGGGGCAGGTAGCTGCTGTGTGAACTGAGAGCCATTGCCTGTCTGAAATGGGCAGCCATTGCCTGTCTGCTTGTCTCAGCCGGGAATGTGGGCTCAGTTTTGCCAGATTTCCCGAGTTTTCAAGAGAAGCTGGAAATGTTCCGATATTTAAAAGTTAGCAACTAATTCCAATTTTTGATAAATATGGTGTGAGTCAAACAAAATGTTTGCGAGCTGAATCTGGCCAACGTGCATCCTCTGCTATATAATGATGTCTTTTTGAGGCCTGGGCTTGTAGTACATAGTAGGTGTGCAATAAATATTTGTTGAGTGAATATGATTCCTGATAGAGAACAGCTCACAGCCCACCTGAGTTTTTTTTTTTCTTTTATGTGACCAGTAAGGGGATTGCAACCCTTGGCTTGGTGTCGCCCACACTGCGCTCAGCCAGTGAGCGCACCGGCCATCCCTACATAGGATCTGAACCCGCGGCCTCGGCACTCCCAGCACCGCACTCTCCCAAGTGAGCCACGGGGTTGGCCCCCACCTGAGTTTTAAACGGAACTCTCATAAGCCACACTGAGGTCAGACACAACCTTTTTGTGTTGGATTCAGAGTCCACAAGTGGTTTGGTAAATCTTTCCAATATTTACCCTAGAAGACCCCCTCCAGTTGTTAATAATTTTTTTTTCCGGCTGGCTGGTATGGGGAACCCGAACCCATGACCTTGGTGTTATCAGCACCATGCTCTAACCAAGTGAGCTAACCGGTCAGCCCAGAACAGCCCAGAATAGCCTCTTCTTAGGAGACTAAGAAGTTTTCCCTAGTGGAGGTAAATGAGCTGGAGAAAAAACTTAATTAAAAAATATTTTTCATCATGGGAATCATTGTATTAAAAAATAACACCTTTTAGCTATGGAGGTTTGGGGTACTAACAA